CTCAGATTCAGAATACCCAAACCCAAGCGGCCACGTGCCCTTCACCTGCCCCTCCACCACCTTCCTCTTCCTCGGCCAGCAGCACCAGCTTGCCCCCAACCAAGTCATTGTTGCTTTGTCCGTCTTGCAGATCAGTCCACGTCAGATATGCCCATGTGTTGGATTCACCCCACCCACTACCACCCTGCGGCCAGGGATCCTTTGTGACAAGTCCACTCGTGCCTCTTTCTACCTAAAACTGTTCCGAATATCTCACTTCCCTTGGAATATTAAGTCCAAATCCCTGTCCGGGCTGAAGTGATTAGGGCCCTGCCCAGTCCCTTCCTTATCTCTCCTTATCTTCCTGCAGAGCGTCCTGTTCCCAAGTCAGCAGCCTGAAGACCTCTTTCCCTTTGTCCACCAGAATGGTCCCACGTGCCCCCCTTGCCGCCTCCCTGCTCTCCTGAGGATGGCTTCATGCACACGCCTGCAGGAACCCAGTGCCAGAGCCCATGTCTGGGTGACCCAGAAAAGCCCATTTCTCCAGAAGCCCCTTGTTAGGACAGAGGGGAGAGAGAGAGGAAATGAATCTGCTGCGGCAGAAAGCCTAGGCCATTTTTCCAGACACATGGAAAAATTAAGGCCCACTGTCCACCAGGACTCCTGGCTTCTTTCCCTCCAGGAGGTGATCTCTGAGGACTGGCCCAGGACTTTGGGAAGCGATTCCAGAGAAACACATGAAACCCACCCTCCAGCCCTGTTCACTCTGTAATGCAAAAGCCACTTCCTGCGGGAAGCTGTGGTTCACGCCTGTAGTCCCAAGTTGTTGGGAGGCTGAGGGCAGGGGAGTGGCTTGAGCCCAGAAGTTTGAGGCTAGCCTGAGCAACACAGTGAGACCTCTTTTAAAAAATAAAAGACCCACTGATTTTGCAATCATAGCCAATGAAATGACAGCATCTTATCAGTCTCTGGCTAAAGAGCCATTGGTGGGTCCAGGGAACCCTAGTGGAACTCCAAAACTCACGCCGGAAATGCTCTGACCCAGGTCTGCCACAGCAGACCTGATCCCCGACCCCCTACGAAACCAATGCCTGTCCTCTCTAAACCCATGAAGTCCAGCAAAGCCTGTCATCTGAATAAGTCATAGCTCTTCTGAGCCCTGTGCCTTCAGAACTACATTCTTGAGACTTTACCAGAATTGTACAAATAGGCGACAGCTTGTCCCAACCCCAGGAACCCTCCCTTGCTAAGACTTGTTTAAGCAGGTCAGGTCCTGTCTCACTGACTAGTGGGACAAGAAAGAATACAGATACCTTTCAGGAGCCCAAGTGACCCAGACTCCCTGCCCTTGGCTCGGTGGGGACAGTCACCCTGAGAGACTCCAGAGCTTGCTAGGACTTAGTTGCTAGGTCTTTTTTGAAGTTGCTCACTTTCCAGGGACACCCAACACTCTTGTCAAGTTGTTCCTCCGCTCAGGGAGCCCAGAACCAGACAGCCCTAGACTTTCAGAATCCACTTATGGAGCTCACAAGGGTTGCTGTAAAGCTTGGAATCTTCCTGGACTAGTGGTGATGAATAAGTGCCATGACCCCTCTTCTTGGCACCAGTTTCTGTTTTAATCACCTGATCTTCACTGTGACCTCTGAGGTCTCAGTCCATAGAAAGCTGACTCCACAGGTCTGGGCCCTCAGTGAGGCGGAACAGCAGGGTGGGAGGGCAGGGAGGAGGACAGCAGCTCAGGACAGGACAATCAGGAAGCAGTGAGTTCTGCTCACCAGGGATGAAATAGAAACACCAAATTCATGTCCCTAGTGACCTACTTCCTCCAACTCTACCTGCTATAGTTACCACCCAGTGAATCCACATTAGTGGATTAATCCACTGATTTGGTTACAAAACTCATAATCTAATCATTTCATCCCTGATTATTCTTGCATTGTCTCACACATGAGCTTTTGGGAAATACCTCATATCTAAACCATAACCACCATGGGATCAACTTGGCCCATACCCAGGGTTTTCACTCACTCTCACCTGCCACCTTGGGACTTAAGTGGAAGAATCCAAGAGATAATAGCCCCACAATGTTCCTAAAGGGTAACATTGCTTGTTAACCTTAAAAGGCAATTCCCACTACTTTTTTAGGGGACAGTGATACCCACGAAATGACAATTATGACCCCTGAGTTACACCCAGCTCAATTCCCAAGCTTCACCAGAACTGCCTAAGTAATGACTGCATCTTTCATGTTTTCATTTTTGAGTGTTTATGAGCCAAGGATGGTGTTAGGTAGTGGAAGTAGAGGTTGATGTCCTGAAATATGCTTAAACATATGTCCCCAAGGCTTCCCTGCTGATAAGTTAATGGAAGGACATCAGGGCCAACTTTCAGTTTCCCAGAATCTTCCATAAGGCCCTAAAGAATGGAGAGCTGACTTTTGACTACCCAAGGACCAGAGCCACTGAACCTGGCTTTCAATTCCTAAACAAGAAACCCCCTCCAGAAATTTTTAAACTAAACATGAAATAAGAAGATGAAACAATCAGCCCAGGGTCACACAGATGAGTGATAAAGCTGGCTTTAGATTCTGGCCACGCTCATGCCTCAAAGCCCTTGAGCAAAGACGTTCAACCCTGGCACTTACAAGCCTCATACAAAAACAGGGGTTTCTCCCAGGGGCTGGGGAGGACCGGTTACAGCTGCTTAATGGGTACAGGGCTTCCCTTTGGGGTGAACAAAATGTTTCAGAGCTCAACAGAGGTGACGGCTGCAGCACATTTTGCGTGTACTGAATGCCATGAGTGGAACCATTTAAAATGTTTAGTTTTATGTTGCATGATTTTTTTTTATCTCAATTTAAAGAAGTAAAATAAAAGGATCTCTTCCTTAACAGGCTGGGCACTGTGGCTCCTCTTCACCCTTCTTTGCTAAGTCACTGAAGCTGTTGCTAAAACAGCCAGGAGTTAGCTTTCTAGGACAGACAACTTTTTTTTTTTTTTTTTTTTACTGATTTTTCTCAGTAATCTAGAAGTTTCTAACATGTCAGTGAAAAGTGTTGGGGCTCCGTAGCATCCAGTGGGACCCAATTTTTATCACCCATCTTTTCGTTATTGTAGGAAATTTAAAGGAGGGGAAAAACCCACAAGACCCCTCTGAAAGTACTTTTTACAAAGTATGATATTCACATAGGCTTGTGTGGCTGAATTCCATGGATTCTGTTCAGAATGAGTCAGAAAAGCAGATTCCATTGTTATTACAGAAGAGAAAGACTATAGGTCAAGAGGTTTGGTTCATGGAACCAAACACAGCCATGGGGGAGACTCCTCAGATGAGGGTTATTTAAAACACTGTGCACCAAGAGGGCTGGTTGGCTGGCACTTGTTGCCTAAGGAGAAGGGACAAGGAGTTGGCCTTTGGGAGTGGGGAAACCTTAAATGGCAGAGTGCAGAGGCTCTCCTCTGCATGCCAACACACTCTACTGGCCAAAGTTCTCCCCAGGAAGTTCCTCTGATTACTTCCTTTGGGAGAGGAAGACTAAAGGTCAAGAGGCAGCTTATGGATTTTGGTTCATGGAATAATAAAGGTATATACATATATATATGATTTGATTTTCTATTTCCTCCTGTATTCCACACGTGTGCTTAAGCATCACACACAGGCATATACATTTTAAGTCAGCATTACAGAACTGCTTTCGTTCCTCCACACATTTGCAGCTGCTTTGTTAACCTGGGTGCTCCCTGTGAAGTGCTCCATCTATGAAAAACTTCCTTGACTTTCCCACAAAGATTTAGACACACCTTTATCTGCAATCACAGTTTGCTTTTCATATATTCATGATATGTCCTCAAAGGGTACAAACTTTGTTACCTTTCGTCATATTAAGACACAATTATGTCCTTTTTTAAATATTTTTCTAGTTGTCGATGGACCTTAATTTTATAGATTTACAGGAAGTGCTGAGAATCCAACTCAGTGTCTCATACATGCTAGGCAAGTGCTCTACCCCTGAGCCACAGCCTCAACCCATACAATTATGTCTTGTTATTTCTCTCTCTCTTTTCTAGAACAGAGCAAAATATCTGGAAGATGCCAGATAAGAACTAAATATATCCAGTACGATATATTACTATGTCTTACATTTCATTTCATTTCATTTTGATATATATATATATATTTATAAATGTATTAAACAATTTTGTGATCAATTTTAACTTTTTGTGTGGAAAGCATCATTATTTAGCTAGAGATACATAGACATAAAATGTATGTATAAAAGATTTTATACATATATTATATATATGTATATATATATGTGTATGTGTATATATATATATATATATATATATATATATATATATATATATATATATATATGCGTGTGTGTGTGTATATATATATCTTCTCTTGCAATGTGACTCCAGGGCTCTTCCCATAGGGTCTGTTTCTCCACCCCTTTAACCTGGCCGTGGCCATATGATCTGCTTCAGCCAAAGGTTCATTAGCAAACATGATGAAGCTGAGCTGGAAATCATCTGTGCATTTGGGGGCAACCCCTTTTACTGCTGGGAGCTCTTCTGTCATCACGTGAAAGTGGGCTGTCCACTGGATGATAGGAGGCGTCTGGCAGTCACCCCAGCTGACATCAACACAGCCCTACAGACAGGTGAGAACCCCCTGGTCCAACCAGCCTACAGACATGTGACTCAGGCCATCCTACACCATCCAGCCCCAACCAAGCAAGCCCGAACTGGAACTGCTTAGCTGTCCCATCAAATCTTGAGCAAATAAATACGCTTGTTGTCATGAGTTATTAAGTTTTAGAAAAGCCAACATATATATACACACAGAATATCTCTGGAAAGATCTTTTTGACTGGCTACTGGTATTGTCCAAGGGGTAGGACCTTCTGCATCAGAGGCAGGAATTGGAGGGGAATTTTCACTGTATTCCCTTTTGTGCATTTTGAATTGTGAACCACACAAATGAACCTGCTTTAAAAAATAAACACAACTGCAAACTGTTGATGCTCTAAAGCATGACTTGTGGAGAAGGTAGTTTTACTTCATCAATTATTCTTTTTGTTATTACTTCAAGATGTAACTGAACTGCAAAATCAACATACAGGGTTTTTTGTTCTGGTTTCCTTTCTTGGATGGTCCTAGGACCTTTGTCCTCTAACACAATGAAAGCCTCAGTGCACTGTGGGATGTTTGAGACAACAGTCCAGTCTCTTGTCCCCTCTGCAGAGGCTTGACCTAAGTGCTCGGAACAGTTAATAAATCGATAGCACCAGAGAGCAGTGTCTCATTCACATCTCACCAAGTTTCCTGACTGGAAGTCCACTTCTTGCCGCCAGAGCATGTGCTGCAAGAAGAATGGGAAGAAGACAGCGGGGGCTGAGCTCCCCGTGGCTGCAGGTGATTCAGCTGGAAGTGGGGGGGGAGAAAGGAGGCACTTACCCTCACTCAGTTCAGGAAAGGTTGGACGACAATCTGGCCACGGGGAAGGTGGGGATGGAGGGGCCTCGGTGAGTGCTGCCAGGCTTCTGTCTCCTCGGTTTCTCTTGCGGTCACTTCCTTCTCTCTCCCTGAAGACCAGTTTCTCGAGATGGCAGGGCCTGGAGTTCGCGGCCTGGCTGTGTCAGAGTGCAATGCCACCTCGGGGTCAAACCCCCGAGGAAGAACACACTGGCACCCGCTCCCTGGGTCAGGTCCCCGCCTGGATGGAACCAACTGCGGCCTGGAGATGGACCTCACCTGAGAACAATCCACACATGAGCAGGGAAGGAGACATCTGGGGGACAGTGCTCCTTCCGGAAGAAAAGAGGGGGCTGGGAGAAAACCAGACTCTGAGGGCAGAAAAATAGGGGTTTCCTACAGTCGAGACACACTTGGGTCTGAGTTCTGCTGTTGCCAGCGCTGCGTGACCTTGGGCAGGTTCCGATCTTGCCGAGCCTCTGTTTGGTCATCCGTCATACCCTTGCCGTAGGGTGGCTTTAGGTGTTGATAATATTCCTAGCACCTGCAGCAGGGGCTTCTGCACCAATGGATTTTCACTGTTTTGCTTAGGTCCAGCACCGAGGAGGTCTCCTGAGGAACTTTTTGCAGCACAAAAACTACTTGTACGTAGGGCTGGGGATGTTACTCGGTGGTAGAGTGACAAGGCCCTGGGTCTGATTCCCAGTGCTGCAAAAAAACATCAGCAAAAATAACTCGGACATAAAGTTTCTTCAATGGTGTGGACAAGGGTTCCTCCCCCAAAGGCCTACATTCATGTTAAAGGCTTGGTCCCCAGTCTGTGGCACTATTAGGAGGTACTGAGAACTTGAGAAGGAGCTTTAGAAGGTGAGCCTAGTAGGAGGCCTCAGACCTGCACAGCCTCCCCGACTATCACCATCGGGCCCCAAATAGGGCGTGTAATAAATGATGAACCTACAACGACTCATCACTATAACCCCAAGTCCTCCCTCTATTAGGGTTCCTGCTTAATGTTGCACATTCTGGAGGTTTTGACAAATGTACCAAATCATGTATCCATCCTACAGAAGAGTTTCACTGCCCTAAAAATCCTCTGTGCTTCACCTATTGATCTGTCCCTCCCTACTAGCCCCTAGTAACTATCTCTCTTTTTGGTACCGGGATGGAGCCTCAGGTGCTTAACAACTGAGCCTTTTTATCTTTTTTTTTTTTTAAATTTTGAGCCAGAGTCTTGTTAAATTGCTTAAGGGCCTCATTAAATTGCTGAGGCTGGCCTTGAACTTGTAATCCTCCTGCCTCAGCCTCCAGAGCCACTGGGATTACTTACAGGCAGGCACCACTGCGCCCGAAATCACCTATCTTTTTACTCTCTTCATAGTTTTGCCTTTTCCAGAATGTCATATAATTGGAATCATACTGGCTTTTAGCACTTAACAATACGGATTTGCATTTTCTCCGTGTCTTTTTTCGAGGTTTGATAACTCATTTCATTTCAGTGCTGAATAACAGCCCATAGATACACCACAGTTTGTCCATCCCAACACACCTGCTCACAGACATCTTAATGGTGTTCAGTTCTTAGAGATTATGAATAAACCTGCTGAAAACATGCATTGCAGTTTTTTGCATGGGCATAAATTTACAACTAAAAACAGGAGCACAATTATTTAGCTTTATAAGAAACTACCTGTCTTTCAAAGTGGCTATGCTAGTTTGCATTCTTACCACCAATGAGTGAGAACTCCCGTCACTCTGAATTCTCGTCACCATTTGATTTTGTGGGCGTTTGGGATTTTTGCCCTTCTAACAGGTGCATTGTGGTGGTGTCTTAGTTATAATTTGCAGCTTTTTAATGGCGTGTGATTTTGAGCACCTTTCCATCCACTTACTCGCTATCCGTTGCCGCAGTCTGGCTGGGCACACAATCACGAGCCACCACACAGCTTGTAGATTCAAACAGCAACTCTTTATTCCCGAACTCACACCAGCCATCTACAATCACGTTCTGGGGAAATCCACGTTCTCTGCCCAAATCCACGTTCTCTGCCCAAATCCACCTCCACTGGGCTTCTATCTCCAAAATATATTGTCTGAATCCCGTGAGAACTCAAGGGGAACTCAGGCAGCAGGATACGCCCTATTCCCAGCAGGAATAATCTTAAACCTTAAACCTGGAACCTAAACTGGGAACGCCCTAAACACGATTATCTTAAAACCGGGAACACCCTAATCTGCCTTGGTCCTTGAGCAAGGTCACTTACATTCAATGTCACTGCAACATGTCAGCAACATGGGGTACGCTGGCAAGGAAATTGTCATACCTACTTGGCTAATGGCTCCCAGCATCTCCCCCCTTCTGATTAATTAAACAACAAGCAATGTGGCTTAAGGACCGTGCCTGGTAGGTTGTCCAATTCAACATATGGTTCTTACCCGTCATGGGAAAAACTGACCTTTAGGCGTCAGCCTCCTGTCTTAGGTTGATACCACTGCAATTGAATCATACCCGTCACTGACTACCGGTCCAGCATACAGCCATACTTGTGGATAGGTCTATGCACCAGTGGGGGGGTGAGGTTCTTTGCCTCACCTCTGTTGGCCCCCAAATTTGGCCTTGGTGCCAGTGGGGGATTGAGGTTAATGTGGCTTATGGACCGTGCCTGGTAGGTTGTCCAATTCAACATATGGTTCTTACCCGTCATCGGAAAACTGACCTTTAGGCGTCAGCATCCTGTCTTAGGTTGATACCACTGCAATTGGATCATACCCGTCACTGACTACCGGTCCAGCATAAGCCATTGGCCCCCAAATTTTAGACCATCACTAGCAGAAGGGAGGAGGATACAGAAATGCCACGACACCAAGCCAATTGACGGCTCCTTGGGAAAAATTGCATCACTGGTGACACCATCAGCAAAGATATGCCAGCATTACCACAATTCGCTGCACCAAACGATAGTTACATAGTCCAGGCAAGTTCTGTAAGCAGTTCAAAGCAGAGGAATCTATCAATATGTCATTTCCTCCCAAAATCCGTTTCCTCCCAAAGTAAGTTGACTCTTTGAGCATTACTTGTTGAGTTCTTCACCGGCACTGGGATGGAGATAGGAATTCTGGCAATGATGCTAAAGAGACATTATCCTGAAAAGAATTATTAAATATAATGAAAAGGAAAGGTGAAAGTAAACAAACAGATCTGTTAACCTACTTTAAAAACAATCCTTAACAGCTTTTTACCTAATTTAAATTAGTAAACAAACAGATCTGTTAACCACCTTTAAAAACAATCCTTAACAGCTGTTTACATAATTTAAATTAAACCATTTAAATCACGTGAATAAAAAAAATAATAATAATTCGGATCCATTTTTTCATGAGCGCTCCTCATATAAGAAATATGGACATACGCACATACAGACATACAACACAAAACACAAGAGTGTACACAAACGTACAACACATAAGAAAATAGTAAAGGCCTTGTAGCTTTACCTGGGTGAAATCTCCATTGCAATGTTTAAAAACTCCACAGTCAAAAAATAAAACTGATCAGAAAAACATTAACCTAGGTTTGTATGAGCTCAAAAAATAAAAATAGAACCTTATGATGTGGAAAAATGCAGTAATAAAATAGCTATTGAAAAAAGCATCCTGGTTAATCACTGTCGCAGATGTAAGAATGGCCAAGCTGGAGTTCTGGATATCAGCTGTTATGGATTTGAGTCAAATCATCTTCTTTTCGATCTGTAGAAACTGTTTTAGTTAATCTCTCTGGAATCCAAATGGACTGCTGTTCTCCCTGTGGAAAAACACAAACAGACCCCCGACTCCAGACAATCACTGGGTCAGGACCTTTCCATTGTCCTGTTAGAATATCTTTCCAAAGTACTTTAGGCTTATGTACATTTTTTGGATACATATGCCTTTCCGCAGCACTAAGTCCTGATGAATCCAAATTTAAAAAGTTTAGAGTAAAAAGCGTTATTTTAAGTTTATCTTTGGGGGATATATACCCCCTTCCAATTCCCTCTTTTTGCTTTAATAAGTATATGTCTGTATCTAATAGTTGTCTTAGCTTTTTGCATTTTCTATCTGTGTAATACCTTACTTGACATTTTCAACCATTTTCTATCTTATTTCTATCTTCTAGTTTTTTTTTTTCCTAAGGTTTGTATTTTTACCCTTAGTTGCTTATTTTCCTCCTAGTTTTTTTTTCCTATTTTGTGAGTTTAAAATTATTGTCTTCCTACATCTTTTCTATCTTCCTATATCTTTTTTATCTTTATTCTTTTTAACTTTCTATACTTCTGTCTTTAAAGTTTTTCACTTTAAATTTTTAATCTTCTTTATCTAAATATCTTTTATCCTATTATCTTCCGATTTTTTTTAAAGTAATGCCTTTAAGATTAAGCTTCTTTCCTCCATCATGAAGGCATTTTAACCACCTTTAATTTAACCTTTTAAAGCCTTTTAATTATCATCTATACTGTACTTTTAAATGTACTTTTTCACCACCTACAGCTTCACTCTTTTAAAAGAGGCTTAGATTTTGTTTAAATCGCTTCAATGTTAGTTTACATGGCTGCCCTTCAACCAAAGGCTTCTTTTTTTAACTCCATTGAGAAGCTTTGTCTCAATCTGCCATGTACAAATACCTTTTTCTTCTTTCTTCCTTTCTCAAGCTTTTAAAGTAAGTCTAGTTTCCTCAAAATCTTTTTTAAATGGCATTTTACACCTTTTTACTTTACCACACACAGATTATCTCATCTAGAAACATTTCTTTTTCCTTTAACCTTTTATATTAAAATATATTCCCACATCTTGAATCTTTTTATATCTCTTTTTTAACTGTTAACCCTTTTTATAAATTCACATTTTGAAACAACTCTTATAAAATTTCTGATTTAGACAAATTACTCCACTTCAATAAGATGAAAGACTTTCATGTTTTTTATGATACTATAATACTATAATTGAAACCCAACTGAAAATTTTTCTACTCTTTGTATATAAATTACACATGATAGAATCTTAACACTTAGTAACCTTGTTTTAGCAAAGACACAGACACAAAGCAATATTAAACTTTTTCCATTCACCAATTTATGAAAACACACATAATGTTTAAATATATTACCTTATGGAACTTAATAAGTAAAGAGTACTTGATTTCATATTTAGTGGCTGATATTTTAACACTTTAGCTTTGTAAATTAATCAGATGTCTGTAAAAACCAAGATCTTAGACAAGTGTAGTAAACAGAACTAGCCATCTCTTTCTTGTTGAAGAAAAATCCTTCTACAGGATACCATGATGGTCCCATTGATATACTTAATAACTTGTCTTTAAAAAGCCATGGGCTACATTTTTGTATTGTATCAACATATGCCCTAATTGTTCTTGGTCTTACTGGGGTGCCTTCTTCCTCTAACAATTTCTCTTGCTCGGAGGCGAACAACTTCAAACCTTGAGTCAACCATTTTCCCCAGTTTGCCTGAGAAAGTTCTAGGAACAGGCAACTTGAAATAAAAACAAAATAAATCAAAACAGGAACACATTGTTTTTTGAATTGATCACCCATTCTCTCGTCTTCCCTCAGGGGTGAGCAATTTCACTTACCTCCAAGCTTTAGAAGTTCCACGCACGGGCCACCAAATGCCAATGTCTGGCTGGGCACAAATGCCGCAGTCTGGCTGGGCACACAATCACGAGCCACCACACAGCTTGTAGATTCAAACAGCAACTCTTTATTCCCGAACTCACACCAGCCATCTACAATCAGTTCTGGGGAAATCCACGTTCTCTGCCCAAATCCACGTTCTCTGCCCAAATCCACCTCCACTGGGCTTCTATCTCCAAAATATATTGTCTGAATCCCGTGAGAACTCAAGGGGAACTCAGGCAGCAGGATACGCCCTATTCCCAGCAGGAATAATCTTAAACCTTAAACCTGGAACCTAAACTGGGAACGCCCTAAACACGATTATCTTAAAACCGGGAACACCCTAATCTGCCTTGGTCCTTGAGCAAGGTCACTTACATTCAATGTCACTGCAACATGTCAGCAACATGGGGTACGCTGGCAAGGAAATTGTCATACCTACTTGGCTAATGGCTCCCAGCAATCCGTTTGTCTTCTGTGGTGAGGTGTCTGTTCAGGTCTTCTGCACAT